ATCAACTAAAGCTAGAAAAAAACGTTTCATGTGATTGTTTTCTCGTCTTTTAAAGAATTGATATTTTTTTTCTATTTGTTTCAGGTCTTAGAACTCAAGTATAAAAATTGCAGTGAAGAAAAAACATAGAGAATATTAAAAAAGAGGTCCATAGTCGGTGTTTCGCCCGGGGCTATTATATAGGTTAAGACGGCACTGCTTGAACGCATGGAATTTCTCTCTTCAGGACGAAAAATGTTAGAAATTTTCTAAAGAAGAAAGGAGAGGAAGAAAAGGGAAAGACAGATTGATTGGTGCTGTAGTTTTAATTTTTTTGCTCTAGAAAAATTGCAGTTGAGACAATCACTCAGGCAAATGAAGATCATGACTCCAGTGAACAAGGCAATTGTGATAAACTTGTCGGGGAAAATGCACAGGACGAGGCAGAGATTCCACAAGAGGAAGGATCAGCTCATGCTCAAGAAAAGGCAGAGATTTCGAAAGAAGTTGGACCAGCCTGTGCACAAGACGAGCTAGAAAATCCGCAAGAAGAAGTAGGATCAGCTCGTGCCGTGAAGACAAGATGGGATAGTGGCGACAAGATAGAGAAAGAACAAAACCCAGAGGATGTGTTTGAGCCAGGCTGTATCTTCATAGAGTACGCAAGACCAGAAGCCACATGCGCTGCAGCCAATTCATTGCACGGACGGCTCTACGACAATCGGATTGTGAAAGCGGAATACGTTTCGAAAGAGCTTTACAAAATCAGGTTCCCAAGTGGGTGACAAAGAATACTGATCCCAAAAGTGATTAGTAGTCTGATTCTTAATGTGACCTCATACATTACGTCCGAAATCAGGGTCTGAGATACATAATAGTATCTAAAAGAATCTTCTTGTAATCGTTGGGGTTGATGAGGTTGGCTTTTCATAACCACCTGTGCGGCTGTGCTTACTTATTTGTGCATTCCAGTAAGTAGGGGTGGGTACGGATCGGATATCCGGGGTTTTTAAGGTATTTGTGATTTGCTTCGAATGTTACGGATATCTAATTCTGGTATTTGCTTTGCTTCGGAAAAATACGGATATCCGGAAAAACGGATATCCGGAAAATAAATAGATATTTGCGTATATTTACGAATATTTACGGATATCTTATCCATTTTGACTAATACAAATAATCTTAAGATTTTGATACAAATTTACTTTGCAAAAATATTTTTTTGCATGATATATAAAATAAAAATTAAAAGAACTAATGGATTTACATATTTTGTAATTTTTTAAAGTTTAAATTACAATTATAATAACACAAAATTTAAGAAAAAAATATAATTTTCATAATTTTTTCCCTCTTTTAATGTAATATTTTTATATAAGTAATAATGTGAATAGAATTGTTCAAAATCATGTATTAGAATAATAATTATATAATTTTATACATTTAAAATTTTAAATATAATCAAGATATACATATATTTATATATTTCCGGATCGGATCGGATATTCGCTTCCCAAAATTCTAATATTTGTGATTTGCTTCGATTTTAATGGATATTGAATTTTAGTATTTGCTTTGATTCGAAAATTTATGGATATCCGGAATTTTCGGATCGAATCGAAACGAATAACGAATCGAATCAAATATAACAGATAAAATCCCCAGCCCTACCAGTAAGAGTGAAAGTTGAAACCGTACTTTTTTGTTTTTGTTTTGGTGGCTAAGGTCAACATTCAAATAAATGATAAGAACGTAACCTTCTTGGATAAGCTAGAGGGTTTCTTTCCTTTATTTCACCAAAATAATTGGTAAGGAGGAGATTGGCCCTTCCTCTTCTCTAGTAAAACTGAACTTAATGCACAAATAAGCACAATTATTCCGCTTATACAAAATACATGGCAAGGAGATCCGTATACAAAATGTACTTGATTGTGCAGACCCATACAAAACAGAGAGTAAATGACGTCAAGGGTTTATCGGTAACTGAGGAATTTTATGAACCTCTCCGATGACTCCTTCCGACATCTCAATGATGTAGTTTAGTGAGTGCAGCCACTCCCTTAGTACAGCGAGCTGAGCCCTTAGAACGCTGTTCTGATATTCTATATTCACGTAAGCATTGGAAAGCACTACAATCTGGTCGGCAATGTAAGAGTTCTCTTGCACAAGAACACTGTCTCTTGATAGATCCATCTGATCTTGACCCACTGCTAGTGTTCGTACACTGTCCTCCTCCTAAAAAAGGAAGGACCGCAAAATTCCCTTGTTGGTGTAGCATATTCTCGACCTCCTTAACGATAATCCTGACGAATGTACTCTCCTTGCTGCTTAATAAAAAGAAAAAAAAAATGTCCAAACAGATAAATACATCATACTTTAGCTTTTAGGGGTTGTTATTTAATAAGAACTTATACCTTTTCTTGTCAAAGGTCAGGCCAAATTTGCAAGAAACAGATGCCAATGCTTCCTTCCAACAGCCCCGGCTCTTACCCATGGCAACATGGGCCCTTGCCATGGGTCCATAGGTCCATAAAAAATTTTGTGTTGTTTTATGGGTCTTTTCCAATCCTTTAAATTATCATAAAGCCCATTATTAATCAAACCTAATTCACTTAACATAGACAAAACGTAAAAAAAAATGTATTCTCACCTTTTCCAATTTTTTCCCGTTGA